CAGGGTATAGCCTCTCTCCCAGTCACTTTCACGGGCTGGCATTGAATGTCTGTGGCTTTTCCAGGCACATGGTGCAATTTGTCAATGGATCTACCATCCTGCGGTCTGAAGGATGGTGGCCCTCTCTCACAGCTCCACTAGGCAGTGCCCCAATGGGGACTGTATGTGGGGGCCTCAACCCATATTTCCCTTCTGCACTCTCCTAGCAGAGGCTCTCCATGAGGGCCCTGCCTTATAGCAAACTTCTGCCTGGACATCCAGGTATTTCCATACATCCTCTGAAATCTAGGCAGAGGTTCCCAAACATCAATTCTTGACTTCTGTGCACCTGTGGGCTCAACATCACATGCAAGTTGCCAAGGCTTGGGGCTTGCACCCTCTGAAACCATGGCCAGAGCTCTATGCTGGCCACTTTTAGCCATGGCTAAAGTGGCTTGAGATGCATGGCACCAAGTCTCTAGGCTACACGTAGCAGGGAGGCCCTGGGCCTGGCCCAGGAAACCATTTTTTCCTCCTAAGCCTCTGGATCTGTGATGAGAGGGACTGCCATGAAGGTCTCTGACATGTCCTGGAGACATTTTCCCCATTGTCTTGGTGATTTACATTTGGCTCCTTGTTACTTATTTCTGTAGTCAGCTTGAATTTCTCCCTAGAAAATGGATTTTTCTTTTCTATCACATCATCAGGCTGCAAATTTTCCAAACCTTTATGCTTCCTCTTGAATGCTTTGCTTCTTAGAAAAGACTTCTGACAGATACCTAAATCATCTCTCTCATGTTCAAAATTCCATGGATCTCTAGGCCAGGGGCAAAATGCTGCCAGTCTCTTTGCTAAAGCATAGCAAGCATGACCTTTACTCCAGTTCCCAATAAGTTCCTCATCTCCTTCTGAGACCACCTCAGCCTGGACTTCATTGTCTACATCACTATTGGCATTTTGGTCAAAGCCATTCAATGTCTCTAATAAGTTCCAAACTTTACCACATCTCCCTGTATTCTGAGCCCTCCAAGTTTCTAGGAAGCTCCAAACTTTCTTACGTTTTCCTGTCTTCTTCCGAACCCTCCAAACTATTTCAACCTCTGCCTGTTACTCAGTTCCAAAGTCCCTTCCACATTTTTGGTATCCTTATAGCAGCACCCCACTCTAGCATTACCAATTTACTATAATAGTCTGTTCTCACACTGCTAATTAAACATACCCGAGACTGGGTAATTTATAAAGGAAAGAGGTTTAGTTGACACACAGTTTAGCATGGCTGAGAAGGCCTCAGGAAGCTTACAATCACGGTGGAAGGGGAAGCAAACACATCATTCTTTGCATGGTAGCAGGATGGTGGAGTGCTGAGCAAAAGCGGGGAAAGCCTTTTGTAAAATCATTAGATCTCATGAGAACTTACTATTATGAGAACAGCAGCATGCAGGTAACCATCCCCATGATTCTATTACCTTCCACTGGGTCCCTCCCATGACATGTGGGGATTTTGGGTACTACAATTCAAGATGAGATTTGGGTGGAGACACAGCCAAAATACCTCCCATGGTTCTCTTCACTCTTCTAATCCTTCTTGAGGTCTCCTTGTGCTTCTCTCTCTTGTGAATATCAATGACATTTATGTCCAGAATTACCACTCTGCATGCCAGTTCCCACGGAAACTCCAGAAAGGGAGGGAGATACCTAAAATATTTCAGGCTGTACTCCTCTCAGCAGTCTTCTGATAGGGGAAAAAGAGAGGCTATGTCCACATCTGCCTGGGAAGAGAGCAATTTAAGGCTAAGAGACGGCCAGGCAGCTCATGCAGGGAGAAGTCTTGGGTTGCATTGTTTGTTGTGAAAATTCAGTAATCCTGAAACTAGGAGCTACAGACTCAGGGCTACCCCACCTCAGAGGTGACCTTGATGCTTTAAGGCCAGGCTTGGAACCAGTGTCATAATTCCCACTCACAGTTCTCACACTTGCACTCTGAAGTTGTAGTCAAGTCAGAGTGGAGCCCCAGAGGTTACTCATGGGTTTATGATGCCGTCCCACTTGTAGAATTTTAAGGTTGGGCAAGGCCTTTGAAGTTAGATGGACTCAAGGCTCTGAGGAAACCTGGGGCTTCCTCATATAATCTAGGGTTTTTTGCAGAACAATGAAAGTTTAAATTGTCTGAGAAACTGTTGTAACCCATTTACATGTTTTATTTGGAATTCTATGCATAATTTTGAGATATGAGCTCAGTTGCTTAAAAAAAAAAAAGGCAAAACTTGATCTATTCCCCTACCTTTCAGTTTGCCCTAATACCTATTTACTGAGCATCTCCACTGAGCAAGAACTGGAGCTGAGCTGGGCAGGGCAGAGCAGGGCTCAAGGGACTTAAAATCTATTGGGTGGCAGTGTCGTTAAGGCAGACACATAAATAATTATGATGTAGTAGGAATATTAGCATTGAATAATGTGGCAGGAATATTAAAATTGAAGCAATGTAGGCTGAGAGGAGTTAAATGATTCACCTGTGGCCACACTACTAGTGGGTGACTTGATTAGGATGACAGTCTACTCATTGTGTGTGTACCCGTTCTGTTAGACCTCCCGGCCCCCAAAGAAGATCCCTGAAATGGATACTGTTAAAGTATATATAATTTTCATGGAGTTAAAAGTATGATTTCTATATAAATACCAAGTGAACATGTGTATAAGATTTTATTCAACTTTAGTAATGAGAGAACCAGTAAAATATTAGTAGTAGTTCAAAAGGGAATTCAAAGAAGGGAGATTTATAGTTGTTCAGTCAAAGGAATGCTGAAATGAATTAGCAAATAGATTCAAAATTGCTCAATATTCAACAAGGCAATAAGCCTTAATCTTTGGGGGATAACCTTTTCTGTCAGACAGAAATCATTGGTATTGTTTTTGGATAAGAATAATATGCATTGTATAACTCGATCAAGACAGTTGCAGGTGGGCAAAAAAAAAAAAGTAATATACTTTGTTCTCTTATTTAAATAACTTACCTTATACACCACAATATGATCATTATTAGATTAAAATGCTATCATAGCCAGTTCTAGCAGCTATAACAAAATGCCATAAACTGGGTGGCTTAAAGAGCAAACACTTATTATTATTATTTTCTAAAAAGAATAGTATACATTGTTCTCATCAAGAATCATTTCCGTTATTATGGTTTTTGATAGGTCAACCTCTACTCTTAAGTATTGTAAAATATCCTGATTAATAGAAGTCAAATAAAAGGTAAATACTCTTAGAAAATCAGATAATCTCTAAGCATGGTAGGTCAACTAGTCAATACTCTGCATTACATTCATATTCCTTTGTCTATTTCCAAATTTTATATAATTTTTCTTCCCCTACCCCTTTTTTTTTTTGAGATGGAGTCTCACTCTGTCACCTAGGCTGGAGTGCAGTGGCATGACCTCAGCTAACTGCCACCTCTGCCTCCCAGGTTCAAGTGATTTTCCTGCCACAGCCTCCTGAGTAGCTGGGACTACAGGCGCATGTCACCTTGCCCAGCTAATTTTTGTATTTTTTAGCAGAGACGAGCTTTCACCATGTTGGCCAGGCTGGTCTCAAACTCCTGACCTCAAGTGATCTTGCCTGCCTTAGCCTCCCAAAGTGTTGGGATTACAGGCATGAGCCACCACGCGCGGCCATAATTTTTCTTTACAATGTGTGTGTGTGTGTGTGTGTGTGTGTGTGTGTGTACATTCATTTTCTGAGTGTGTTTTTGTTCAGGTGTTGAGAAGGAGGGAATTCAGTCACACTATAATAAAATGGACCGAAACAGCTAAATGAGAAGTTTTGGGGAAGATATCCCAATGGTCAGGCTGATTTCTCCAAAAATAGATTTGCTGGTCTTACAAGCTGGGAGCAAAGAGGACCCTTTGGAACACTGCATAAAGGAGCTGCCAGGGTAACTGGGTCATGGGGAAGAACAGATCCCCCACATTCTGCCCCTTTTATTGGAAAAAACCTCCCTAGGGCACTGCAGGAAGAAGGGTTCCTTACTGGGGCAGGAATGTTGAGCCAGGCAGTTAGAGCGGATGGCGGCTTCTGTGTAAGCAGATGCCTGGGTTTGGCTTCCTGGCTGAGCTTCTCAAGGTGATTTTGGTTCTTTTGGTTGTTCCTGCTCCTCCTCCCAGCCTTTTTTCTGTCCTTTGAAAGTATGAGGACTGTTTACATTTAAATGGCACCTTATACTGGACCAAGTGCTTCCTCTTACCTCACTGAATTCTGTACTAATCCTGTGAGACAGATATTGTCATCCCATAGAGGCTAGTTGAGTTGCCCAAAGCCATGAGGTAGCTGGTGAGAAGAGCATTCAGAATCCAAGCACAAACCTTCCAACTCTAAAGTTCCACGTTCTTTCAGTGTGTATCAGTCAGCCTGTTCTAGCATTTCTGTACTTCCTCCTGGAGCATTTTATGGTTGGATTCCAAGATATATGCACGGAAAAGCTTGAGAAGATTTCAGATTTCCTTTTCCCTTGCCAGCCCGTGGGACGCTACCACCGAAGTCACCCTGCCCTCCGCACACCCACTGTATTTAGGCTGTGTGTTAATGCTAGTGCATCTGGGACTTGGATCCCCTGTGTAGTGGCCGTGAATATCACTAGAATGATTGAAGAGGGGATACATTGCCATTTTTCTGGGCTTCAGAGATATTTTCATTTGCACAGTGTAGGTGTCAAACCAGTTGTTAATGAAAGCCTTTCCATCAGTTATGATCTGAGGCTCGGGTCTATGGCTCAGCCTTGCCCTATCACTTGTTACCACTGTGGCCTCATCAGTTGAGAGTGGTGATGAGTTTCTCCTTATTTTCCTCCTTCTGCTTCTTCCTTACCAATAACCTGCATTTGGTAGATGTCTGCGGTATGGTTAGGGTGTGTTTGTGTACACCTGAGAGCCGTAAACCTGGGCAATGGAAAAATTGGGAAGGATGGGGCAGGTAAGTGCCTTCACTGAGCCAGATCTGGTGCAAATGCCTTTGTCTGTCTGTTGCAGGACCCAACATCTGTACCACGCGAGGTGTGAGTTCCTGCCAGCAGTGTCTGGCTGTGAGTCCCATGTGTGCCTGGTGCTCTGACGAGGTAAGGAGCAGGTACTAGACTTTGTTTCTTCCCCAGACTAAGCTGCTTTTGTGCAGAAACAGATCTATGAAGTTATTGCTTCCCTCTTAAACACACACCCACCCCTTGTCCCTTCTGAGCAAAACTTTGATGGATTTTTCCAACTGATGGATGATGAAGAGCTGTCATGGGAATGATGCTAGGAATACTATCCCTAGTCTACCGCTCCATATAGCCCCTGGCCCTTGCTAATTTGGCTGGACCTACTGGCCATTCTGTGGCTATTGCTGCCCTTTCTGACACTTCGCTTGCTTTTTTTTTTTCTAAGAAAGAATAGTTTATTTTTATTTTTTGGTAGACACAGGGTCTCACTATGTTGCTAAGGCTGGTCTCAAACTCCTAGACTCAAGAGATCCTCCCACCTTGGCCTCCCAAAGTGCTGGGATTTCAGGTGTGAACCACCATGCCGGGCCCTTTGCTTGCATTTTGTTGGGGTGGAATATCCCAGGCAAGCAGAGCATCAGGTCTCAAAAGGAGAGGCAGCAAGGGGTATAGGAATGATGGTGTTGGGTGGGGGGGTGTTGGCTTATTTCTTTTTCCTAGAGTTTAAAAAAGGCAAACAGAAGAGGAATCTTGTGGTTGTGTGTGGGGATGTTTAATCAGAAGATATCTTCTCTTCCCTTCTCTTCGACGACTGGGCCCTACAGCTTTACCTTTTTCTTCTCTCCTTCTCACAGGTGTTGAGGAAAAAAGCTGGGCCCACTTGGTGAGGACAGGATGGGGACAGGAAAGTGTTAGTTGTGTCTAAGCAGAGGGTTTGTTGTGTCTGGGGCCCTAGGGAATGAGTGTGTCTGAGGGAACGGCTATGTTTGTGGCTGGGATGGAAATTTGGAGCTGGCAAGAGCTGATGGGGTGGGGGTGGGAGATGAATGCCGCTGGAGAGATTCGGTGATTATAGAGTCTGAGGCTGAGTCACTGGCCCGGCCAGCAAGTGGTTACCTGAGCTCCTGGCCTGGCTTCCACTCAGCTACCTGAGGCGTCCTCTCTGTCCTGCGGCAAGTCCCAGCCGTCTCCGATTTTAAGACTGCTTCAATCCAGTCCCTCAGTCTCTCTATCTGCTTCTTTTCCAGATCCACTGAGTATCCTAAAAAGGCAACCTCTCTGGCAGAGGTGGGGTGGGGGCGTGGGGAGGGGTGGGAGCTGGGAGGCTGTGTTTATCACCGGCCAGGAGGGCTACCAGAGCAGCAGAGGCCAGCTCTGCACGCTGCTTTGGCCTCTTAGTCGTTCAGCCCGGGAACTGCTTCCAGAGGCAGCTTCCCAACATCTGGGCCACATTGACTTCGTTTAGCAAATGAAACATTCCCTGGGGCTAGGGATGGGGAGTAAGGGGGGGATGGATGAGTCCTTCTCCTCCACCCCCGCAGGTTCTCCTCCCTTCTGGGCTCAGCTGGCTGCTCAGTGTGATGTAGCCTCTCCCCTCCTCATTCACTATGTTCTCCTTCCTCCCATCCTGATATTACTAAAGCTTCTTTCACCAGGAAGTTGCAATTCTGCAACTGAAAGCTGGAAGAAGGGAGAGCTGGATGGGGAGGATGCCTTAGGTGGCCCAAAGCCTTCAGGAGCAGAGGAAAGTCAGGACAGAAGCCCTAGTGTCACTCAAGGGGTGTTTCCCTGTTTTTCTCCTTTCCCCCATTTCAACCCAAAGCAAGAGAAAATGCAGGCACCTCTGGTCCAGAGAATGTGGGAAAAAGAAAACCTTCTTGGAGGGCCTGTCCTGCTCCCTATCCCCCATGTTTCATCTCTGTTGATCTGCACAGGGAGTAGTCACGCAGCTGAGGTGGGCTGAGGCTTGACCAGACAAAGCCCTCAGGTCACCTAACCAGATTTCAAAGATGCAAAGGTAGAATATTTTGGGTGACTGTTGTGTCCCTGTCCCCTGGGGCAGGCCTGGGGAGGGCAGAGGGAAAGGTGCAGGGTAGATCAGAACATGAGGTAGAACCAGCCTAGGAGTGAGGGGGGCAGTCAGCGAGGAAATGGGCGCAGCTAGGACTAAAGAGAATGAATGGAGGGAGGTAGGAAGTCCAGTGAGATATTCCCTGGGATAGTGACATATAAACTTGAAAGTAGGCGGGGCCAAGATTAGTGAATGTCTACAACCATCTCTGAGCAAGAGGGTGGAGGGAGAGAAGGAAGGGTGGAGGAGCCGGAATGGGACAGAATGTGGCGACCAGGGAGGGATGGGAAGTGGGAATCCTGGACTGTAACCTGAACATAAGTGCTATTTTATTCCTGAGAGGAGCAGGGCTTCCCCTGGATAGGCCAAGTTTAATTGATGGCAATGCCTTGGGTATTGACTTCAAAAAAACCAAAGGTGAATTGTCTGGTCCATTTTGTAGGTAATTTGTCGAATAATCAAACCCTGGAGAGCCCTCTGTTCATCTTCCTCCCCTGCTGTTCCAGGCAAGCTGGCAGTGCCTGGAAAAACAACTGGTTGGGCTCAGCTTTTTCTTGCTCCTAGAGGACTCAAGCTCTTGGGTGTGTATAGTGAGAGTTTGGCTGGGTAAGAGGAAAACATGGCCAGCATGGATGAGCACGGAGTTTTGGGCCCATCTGCATAGGGTGTGTTCTTGCAGGGTTGTATACTGACACGGGTTGGGGTGGTGTGCTCTCTCTGGTCTGTAAATCTAGCAAAGAGGCCAGCTTCATACAGAGACTCAACTTGTGGTCTCAGTCTCAGCAGTGCCATGCTGGTGTCTAGAGCCTCCCAAACTCATTTGGTGTTGAGAATTGCCGGGATGCTTGTTAAAAATAAAGGTTCCCAGGATGGACCCTGGGTTTATTACATCAGAATGGGTTGTTATGATAGCAAGTTTGACCAACATTGCTAATTGAAGGGCCACTGGGGTTGGGGTGGAGGTGGGTGGAGGTGGAGCTAAGGTTATCAGATAAATACAAAACATCCAGCCTGGTGCCTGTAGTCCCGGCTACTCAGGAGGCTGGGAATGGGAGGATCCTTTGAGCCTAGGAGTTTGAGGTTATAGTGCACCATGATCATGTGTGTTAATAGCCACTGCACTCTAGCCTGGGTAACGAGGGAGATCCTGTCTCTAAAAAATAAATCTAAAATATGGAACATCCACTTAAATTTGAATTAAAAAATAATTTTTAGTATAGGTATGTCCCAAATATTTGCTATATTTGGCAACCCTACAGTGGAGGGAAATGCTAGGAATTCTTATATAAGCTAGAGTACACTCTGAAAGGTGGGCCAGCTCCCACTTAGCCTGACAACCAAGGTGACAGAGGAAGAAGGTGTTTGAGTCTAGCAAAGCAGAGGAAGACTCTAATAGAATTTCCTTCTCATTTTCTTCTCTGCAACTTCAGAAGTGAGATAGAGGCCATGATATATTTCTTTGTAATCACAAACATAATTTCATTCTCAAAGAAGACATTCTTTCTTTCTATTTATTTTTAATCTGGAGGATAAATGTTCATCTTGAGAGTTTTGCTCCAACTTATTATTGTAAAAGGAAGTATAATATTAATAGTGCTCCTCTCCTTGTAAACAATGAAATGTGAATACCAACAGCTGTAAACAAAAATCTTTCCTTTTCCTCTCCTCCTTCTTTCTGCCCTCTCCATTCTTCTCTTTCTGCATGTTCAAGTGAATTCTTGTCCTCACCAGATGAGTTAGTCAAGACTGCAATGGATGGGGAGATATTTTGGTGGCACTCTGGGGTCTCTTGCTCTCCAAGAAAAGAGTATGAAATAATAGTAGTTATCATGGTAATTGTAAAAAAGAGTCACCTTATTTTTGCATTTATTTGTTTATACTGTGTCCTAAAGCTGGGGTCCCCAACCCCCGGGCCATAGACCAGTATGGATTCAAGGCCTGTCAGGAACCCAGGCACACTGCAGGAGGTGAGCGGTGGGCGAGTGCGCTTGACCGCCTGAGCTCCGTCCGCCTCCTGTCAGATCCGCGGTGGCATTAGATTTTCCGGAGTTCAAACCCTACTGTGAACTGCGCATGGGAGGGATCTAGGTTGTTCACTCCTCATGAGAATCAGACTCATGCCTGATGATCTGGGGTGGAACAGTTTCATTCTGAAACCATCCCCACCTCCCCGTCCATGGAAAAATTGTCTTCCATGAAACCAGTCCCTGGTCCCAAAAAGGCTGGGAACCTCTGCCCTAAAGGATTTCAGTATAGTAAATTTATGTTGATATTTTTATGTTTTGGAGGTACTTCCTGACCAACCCTGTGAAACAGGCAGGATAATGACAACTATTCATGTTGTACTTTCCCAATTTCCAAAATGGGATTAATGGTGAATAGCACTAACAGCATGTGTCACCCTCCCAGGAGAGGGAGGTAATTCAGCGAGCTCACATGGTGCCGGCTGGAACCTCCCACCTCTGTGCTCAGGCCCTTCCCCTGGGTCTTGGCTATTTTTGCCCTTTTTGCGTAACATCCGATTTTCCTGGGAACTGGAACTTTAATATCCACCCCCTCTTGCTTCTAGCTTCTCCCTGCATAACCTGGAGACATTCCTTCTACCTTCTCAGCCTGGGTTACCACGAAAAGGAATGTTGCCCAAATATGTTGAGGTCACTGCCTTGGTGCCTTTCTGGGATAGAGGGTTCTCTGGGAGAGCTTGGCTGACAAGCAGGCCTGTTATTCCTGACCTCTGATGTCAGCAACCACAAAGGGAGGGAGAGAGGCAGTTTTGTTTTTCAGTGTTTAATTTTTCTAAGGAAACTCATAACAAACCATAAGGACTGTCAGCACATCTTAGTGCTTCAAATCCTCTTCTCATTAGGACTGTCACATTAGAAAATAGGAGCCAGGAAACTCCCGTTTGAAGCATTCCCTCCCTCCACGGATGTAGCCTGAAGATGCATGATGGCCTTGCTGCTCCCATCCTGACCCTGCTCTCTCCTTCAGCATGTTTTGGTCCTGGAAAGGTTCCGCTCCTCGCTGCATCCTGGTTTATCCACTGCCTTTTTGGGAAGGTTTTCTCCCTGGGGCTTTGTGGGCAGCTGGAATCAGAGATAGGATTTTTTTTTTTTTTGGCAAGAAAAAGACTGCTTCCTGAGGAGGAAGGGGTAGAAGAGGTGGGTATGGACAACAGGGGAAGTCTGGGCACAAAACCTAAAGCGCCTGAGTTCTCCCCATGTCATTCTGTCCTTAGCCAGAACTGGGTGCAGGGGAGACTTTCGTCTTCCTCAGAGCTGTGGAAGGTCTCTGATGTCCTTGTTGGAATATTTGCCACCAGGAAGTCAAGTCTTATTCATTGGTTTCCATTGCTGAGGCCATTTCTCTGCCTGCATACCTGTGAAGCTGAGAGAGAAAGAAAGAAGCTGCTGGCTTCCAGAAACTCTTCTCGCTTCTTGTCTGGGCCAGGGTAGTCCTCATGCTGTTGATAATGCTCGTGACCCAATTCATGTGGGGAAGACTTCAGCCCATCAGAGGGGGATCGGACTGGAGAGGGAGAGAGACTTTAGGCATTGGGAAGGGTTTTGGGTTACTGGGTTGCTTTTTTTGTTTTTGTTTTGAGATGGGGTCTCACTCTGTCACCCAGACTGGGGTGCAGTGGTGTGATCTTGGCTCACTGCAATCTCAGCCACCTTGGCTCAAGTGATCCTCCCACTTCAGACTCCTAAGTAGCTGGGATTCCAGGTGCGCACCACCATGCCCAGAATTTTGCATTCTTAGTAGAGATGGGGTTTTGCCCTGTTGCCCAGGCTGGTCTGGAACTCCTGAGCTCAAGTGATCCACCCATCTCAGCCCCTGCTGGGATTACAGGCATGAGTCACCGCACCCAGTGGGGTACAGGGTTTTTGAGTATGAATGGCTCCTTGTGGGCCAGTCCCTCTCCTGGCATTATAGCTGCCAGCTTGCTTGAGGGGACTCAGGAGGCAGATGTCATCCACCCTTCTCCATACCCCTCACATGCCCATCTTGCATCCTGTTCCTCACCTAGGGCATTCTCTGCTGTGGCTGTGCCTTAGACCATTCCTTCCACACTCCTCCTTTTCAGTGCCTTGACTCTCACTCTATATAGAATGTAATAAAGCTTATCTTATGAGGATAATTACAGTCAGACAATCTAGCTGTCCTCTCAGTTCTGCCACTTCCTAGCTCTGCATCTTTGAGCAAATTCCTTAACTTCTCCATTCCTCAGTTTCCTTACCTGTAAAATTAGATTCCTCATTTGTGAAGCCTTCAAACCTTAGATTTCTCCCTTGTAAAATAATAATAATTCCAGCATTATGGAACTGTCAGGCAGGTTGCAATAATCCATGTGAGATGCTCACCAGAGTACCTGACATACAGTAAGTGCTCAGTAAATGCCAACACTAGTTGTTCCGGGATATTGGTGTGGGTTATCTAGCAGACATTTGGAAATGCTTGTGGGGGATGTGGGTAGGGGTGGGGTTGGGGAGAACCTGAAGGCCTAGACATTGTGAAATAGGTCCAGAGAGGGGTTTTCCAGCTTCCTGACTGGTCCCCTCAACCTGGCAAGGAGCCCTGATAGACATGTACCCACACAGTGCTGGCTAAATTGGCTGAATGTCAGAGCCAGAAGGGACTGAAAACACCATGTCATCTAACTGCCTCATTGAACAGGTGAGGACCCAAAATGATATATCTGAGGTCACATGACCAGTCAGTGGCAGGCCTAGGATTGATCCTCTTTCCTGATTTCCAGTGTTCCTTCCAGTATGGCGTGGTCCCCATTCAATACCCAGATGTAAGCACACAGAGCCCCAGCGGGGCCGTGGGATACACACCAGGGTTTTTGGAAGGGTGTTCAATTTGTTCTTTGTCCAGGGTGAAGGAGGAAGCTGAAGTGATAGGATGGGCTCTGATCAGGTGCCTGGTATCGTGGTATTTTCCTAAGTTTGTGGAGTTTATTCCTAATTAGCTTATCCAGGAAGTGCTTGTCAAGCTTCTCATAGTCATAGCTCACATTTGCTGAGCACTTACTCTGCCAGGTGCTGTCCTATGCATTTTATGTGCATGGTCTTATTTGGCCTGTGTGACATCCCTATGACGGAGGTACCATAATTACTATTATTTTTAGGTAACTTTTATTGTGGGAAAATACACATAACATAGAATTTACCATCTTACCATTTTTTTTGTTTTGTTTTTTGAGACCAGGTCTCGCTTTTTCACCCAGGCTGGAGTACAGTGGCATGATCTCTGCTCACTGCAACCTCTGCCTTCCAGGTTCAAGTGATTCTCCTGCCTCAGCCTCCCGAGTAGCTGGGAAATAGGTTCACACCACTACATCTGGCTGAATTTTGTATTTTTAGTAGAGATGGGGTTTCACTATGTTGGCCAGGCTGGTCTCAATCTCCTGACCTCAGGTGATCTGCCCACCTTGGCCTCCCAAGGTGCTGGGATTACAGGTGTGAGCAACTGCACCTGGCCCATTTTAACCATTTTTAAGTGTACAGTTCAGTGGCATGAAATACATTCATAATGTTATGAAACCCAACACTACCATCTATCTCCTTAATTCTTTTCATCTTGTAAAATTAAAACTCGGTACCCATTAAACAATAATTCTTTATTCCTCCCAGTCCTTGGAAACTACTATTCTACTTTTCGACTCTGTGATTTTGATTACTCTTAAGATCTGAAGCGGGGACTGTTATTATGTTCATGTTATGGCTGAGGAAACTAGGCTTGGAGAACTTAGATGACTTACCCTAGTAAGCAGTTTTAAGTACAATGCTGAGGTTTACTACTGAGCTCTTAGCCCTGACTCTCTCCTGCCTCCCTACACTGCCTTTCCCTATCACGTTTGTGGTAAGTCCTGGATTGGATGCTGAGAATTGAGAGGGACCAAGACACACATAGTCCCTGAGTTCATGGATCTCACAGCCTAGCTTGTGTTGAATACAGTAGCTTCCAAACTGTTTTGACTCTAACCTACAGAAATAAACACATTGTAAAATGCTTGTTCTTTGGTACTGCAAGGAAAAATTAATATTCAGACAAAAAGTTTTCTCAGCAAGGCAATTTTACTCTCTGCATAAGGGGTACTGCTTGTCAGCAATCTTGCCACAAGAGTACAATGAACAAAGGAAAGGCAGTCATGTTTATTCTTTATGCAATGGGTCCTTACTGCTGTGTCTGATCTTCGCTGGTTGGAGCCAGACCTCACAATCTAAACTGAACCTGACTGGCTAACAACTTAAAACTTTTCTAAATAGGTAAAGGCAATGGAGAACAAAGGAAAAAAGGGAGTTGCTTGTGAAAGAAAGTGATAATATTCCTAAATAAGGAAAGGGCACAGGCTGTGAGCTGGGACATGCCTCTGAACACATCTAGCACAAATATCCCGGTTAAAGTGCAAGGACATAGAATGTACTACATGCCTGCAAGCATGTCTAGCACAAATATCTTGGTTAAAGTACAAGGAAATAGAATGTACTTATTCCTTTATGTCTAACAGCTGCATAGGATAGGGCTTAACAAAGAGCTACTAGCAAAAAGCAAGAAGGCTTTGAGGAAAGTTAGTCTTTAAAAGAAACTATTCTTTCTAACATTTATTATTATTATTCTTTAACAAGAAGGGAAACTTTGACAAGGAACCTTTTACTTTCCACATACATGTTATTCCCCACTTGCCAGCGATATGAAAGTTTCACAAAACAACATTTTGACTATTTGTACACGTTGATATTTTCTTTTCTACTCTTTTGCATTTTATTTAACAAAATGATGGTTGACACCTGCTAAATTGATTTTGGGACCCACAAATGTGTTGTATTCCACAGTTAAAAAATTCTGGTCTACCAGGCATCTTACTGTACAGGACTTCTTTCTAGCTACTACTCCATGAATAGGTCTTCCTGATAACACAATTTCTCCTTTTTTCTTTTTTTTTGGTAGAGATGGGGTCTAGCTGTGTTGCCCAGGCTGGTCTTGAACTCTTTGCCTCAAGCAGTCCTCCTGCTTTGGCCTCCCAAAGTATCAATTTCCCCTTCCCGTCCTAGGGATTATCCCAGGAAGGACCACGTCAATTTGTTTATGCTCCAACGTACAGGATAAACTCTTAGCGACTGGGAAGTGGTAAGGCCTGCAGGAGGCAGAGAGCCACCATAGCTCTGATTGCCGGACTTCTCTCTGGGCTCCTGTCTTACAGGCCCTGCCTCTGGGCTCACCTCGCTGTGACCTGAAGGAGAATCTGCTGAAGGATAACTGTGCCCCGGAGTCCATCGAGTTCCCAGTCAGTGAGGCCCAAGTACTAGAGGACAGGCCCCTCAGCGACAAGGGCTCTGGAGACGGCTCCCAGGTCACTCAAGTCAGTCCCCAGAGGATTGCACTCCGGCTCCGGCCAGGTAGGGGTGGGAACCATTGCGGGGAGAGACCTGGGACAGGTGGGCATAGAGCACGAGATGGAGGTCTGAGCAGGAAGTCTTGGGGAAGGAGCTCAGAATGGAAATGGGGTGGGAGGACAAGGATGTTGGGAGAGGTGTGGGCAGGAGAATGGAAGAAAATAAAAGATGTTAGGACTTGAGTCAGAAGATCTGAGTTGAATCTTGACTCTATCATATATTAGCTATGTGACCTTGGACAAGTTACTTAACCCTTCTGACATAGAATGTGCTCAAAAAAACGTTTGTTTCTTCTTTACCCAAGTGCCTGTTTTTTACCTAACTTAGAGCTTTGCGTTGAGGTGCAAAGGAGATATAGAACAAGAAAGCAATTTGTAAGCACCCCTTTCATGGGGGATTGGGACAGAGGAATGAGGGCAGACAAAATAGGTACATAAGACCTTTAGACGGAGGAAGGGTTAGACTAAGAGGCAGACATTTTAAAGCATTGATTTTGACTTTCCAATTAAGTCAAGAAGGATTTAAGAGAGACCTACTATGTACAAGGCATGTGTTGGATGCAATGGGATTCAGAGAAGGGTAGGGTGCAATTTCTGTCTTTTACAGCGTCCGAAATGTAGTAACTGTCAGAACCTCTGTGACTCACAGCGGTAGATCCTTGGAACTCACAGGACTGGAAATCCTCTGGGGATTTAGAGAAAGTGGAAAATTTTAGAATGGAAAAGAAGAGGTTAAAAATAGGAGGATCAAGAGAGTAGAAGAGTAATAGAATTGCAGAGGAAGAGGGAAAGGACCAGGGCTTTCTGGTTTGCTTTGATCATGCAATAACTTGGGCGCAACTGTGTCCAAATCGCTTATTCAATCTTAGAGGGAGAAGAAGATAAAAACTAACATCTTTCTGCCTTCCAGATGATTCAAAGAACTTCTCCATCCAAGTGCGGCAAGTGGAGGATTACCCTGTGGACATCTACTACTTGATGGACCTGTCTTACTCCATGAAGGATGATCTGTCGAGCATCCGGAACCTGGGTACCAAGCTGGCCACCCAGATGCGAAAGCTCACCAGTAACCTGAGGATTGGCTTTGGGGCGTTTGTGGACAAGCCCGTGTCACCATACATGTATATCTCCCCACCAGAAGCCCTCAAAAACCCCTGCTATGAGTAAGTCCCTCCTCCAGAAGCCAGGACAGCATCCTTTGCCCCAGGAAGGTTCAAGTCCTGTTTCCTATTTCTAGCTCTAGAGTCACTTTGTTGGCTGCCTTTTGGCCAAACCATAGCTCCTCTCTATCTTGGTCTCCCTGTCTGGCAAATGGGCTAGCTTGTGGATCTGGAGTGTTATGTCAATAGAACCTAAGGCTGTTTGGAGAACCTGAAAAGAAAATTCATCAGCTTCTTAGTCCTGGTAACAAATAAATGGGAGGCAAGGGGAAGTGAGAAGGAAATGAGGTCAAAAGTAGAAAGAAATTTATGGGTAAGTAAACTGAGAAATGATGATCGCAGGAATTATGATAATGCTATTGCTGGCATCATTGCCTTCATCAAGGCCGTGCATTCTGCAGGTTGAAAATAGAAGAAATCAAGTGCTAGAGGAATATAAAGAGTGGAAATTACATTTGTTGAACCGTTTTATAGTCTGTAAATAGATAACTTGTACTTCTGTTTGACACTTTGGCTTAGCAGTGAATGGCTTATTTATTTGATCAGTGGAGACTGTGCAAATCTATGTATTATAATAACTTCCAATGCTGGTTGCTGAGCCTGAAAAGGTGTGAATTTACTTTTTAGTTTTCAAAGTTATGGCCAGGTGGGGTGGCTGACTTCTGTAATCCCAGCACTTTGGGAGGCCAAGGCAGGAGGATCACTTGATCCCAGGAGTCTGAGTTCAGTCTAGGCAACATAGTGAGAGCCCTATCTCTACAAAAAATACAAAAAATTTAGCTGTGTGTGATGGCGCATGCCTGCAGTCCCCAGAACTACAGTAAAGCTGAGGTGGGGGGATTGCTTGGCCTGGGAGACTGGGGCTGCAATGAGCCATGATTGTGCTATTGCACTCCAGGCTGGGCAATAGAGCGCAAGTGTCTCAAAAAAAAAAAAGTTTTTGAAGTCATATGATGTGGCATTCAACCCTCTCTCTGGGTTGTAAGGTTCCCACGAAAGACGCCAGCTATTAATTAAACACACTATTTTGGCTCGGGGCAGAAATGCTCCTGTCTTGCATGATCTATCAATTTATTGATGGTTTAGGGACCTTAACTTATTGACGGACTTTTGCTTTATTGTTACTTTAGAAAAGTGTTAAGTATAAGGTAATAGTAACAGCACCTTGAGCCTCGCTGTGGTCTAAGTGCTTCGTGCGTATGAATTTGCTTAAGTCTCATGACAACTCTTATGAGATATGTGCTATCCTGGGCCCACTTTCATACGTTGCGTTGAGAGGCTTGCCGAAGGTCTCATGACTAGTAAAGAGGGAAGCTGGGATCTAAGCCCAGGGGGTCTGGTTTCCAGCTCACTCTCTTATCCTCTAGGCTAGCTGGATGGGGGTAAGGTTGATGGGGAGTCTGAGGTAATTTGAGGATTCTGGAATCTGAACTGTCTGGGTAACTGTGGTTGCATGGAACTGGCCTGGGTATATACCGCTATCTATATTTGTCTCTTCCCTTTCCTCCCAATTCCCATGTCGCCTTTTCCATCAAGGTGTCTAATTAAATTGTCTCCCATCCCTCCACAGTATGAAGACCACCTGTTTGCCCATGTTTGGCTACAAGCACGTGCTGACGCTAACTGACCAGGTGACCCGCTTCAATGAGGAAGTGAGGAAGCAGAGTGTGTCACGGAACCGAGATGCCCCAGAGGGTGGCTTTGATGCCATCATGCAGGCTACAGTCTGTGATGTAAGTTTGGAGGACTTGGAGTGCCAGGTGTGGTTGGCATAGATCAAAATGGGGAAGGAAGTGGCTGAACTCTGGGGATTTCTGGTGTGAAATGAGATGAACCGTAAGCAGAACTTCATGCAGTATGAGTAGTAAGTTGCTCCTGATATTCAGCCTCGGCTTAGAGCCACTCCCTGGCCCAAGCTGACATTTCTCTGAACCTCAGTGATCTCAGATGTTTCCAGGGGAGAGCATTCTTCCCATCTTCGAAATTACTGCAGAGTTAAGGCTGGGCTAACTTAGCCTCAGCAAAGTAGGCAGATGTTCAGATGAGATTTCTTCTAGCCCAGATCAGCTCTGTGGATGCAGGTCAGTTTCTAGATGGGCAATGTGACTGTCGTTAGAAGAGCTAAGTCTGGAGTTTAAGAAGGGTTACTCAGCTGCTTGAACTAATGAGCTACGAGACTGTTTTCTGAAGAGAATGAAACCCCTGAATTGGGAAGCTCTAGCTTTGGTTCCAAGGACTGGGACTGAGACCCTTCTTCAAAACAAGTTGTCCAGCCCTTTAGCCAGGGAGTGCCTTGGGTCTCTGCCCTCTGCCAGTGATATGGCTGAATTTGCTTTGTCTACTCTGCCTTTGTTTTTTGTTTTAACAGGAAAAGATTGGCTGGAGGAATGATGCCTCCCACTTGCTGGTGTTTACCACTGACGCCAAGACTCACATAGCACTGGATGGAAGGCTGGCAGGCATTGTCCAGCCCAATGATGGGCAGTGTCATGTTGGTAGTGACAATCATTACTCTGCCTCCACTACCATGGTGAGATCTCTGGCACCACCTATGGTTTCTATTCATGCTGGTGAGGGTTGCCCTAACCCAGACAGAGTCTGTGTGAATATGAAAATGGCAGCCCCTGCTCTGGGCAGGATGTGGGGCTCGGCTTCAGCTTGTCCCCATCCCTTACCAACTGGACACTGTCATCCAGTGCATAACCTGTGTAACCATTAGAGATGTCCCTGACTGTGGTGTTATCACTGACTTCACTGTCATCAGCATAGTGGCAGCATCATGGGATCCAGAATGGACCCAAAGGATTTTTACAACCCAGCTGGAAAGCAGGTCTTCCTCTCCAACCTGATTAGCTCTTTCTTGGAATATAATAGTAACTTGTGGTTATTGGAAGGAGATAGAGGAAAAAAAAAGAGGAAGATTGGCCAAGCATATGGTGGCTCATGCCTGTAATCCCAGCACTTTGGGAGACTGAGGTGGGAGGATCACTTGAATCCAGGAATTTGAAACCAGCTTGGACAATATAGTGAGACCCTGTCTCTACAAAAAAATGCAAAGATTTGCTGGGTGTGGTGGCTTGTGCCTGTGGTCTCAGCTACTTGTGGGGCTGAGGCAGAAAGATCTCTTGAGCCCAGTAGTCTGAGGCTGCAGTGAGCTGTGATCTTGCCACTGCACTCCAGCCTGAGTGATGGAGCAAGAACCACCCACGCTTTTTTTTTTTTTTTTTTTTTTTGTGGCAGTGTTGCTCTGTGGCCCAGCTGGAGTGCAGTAGTGCAGCCTTGGCTCACTGAAGCCTTTGCCATCTCAGTCTCCTAAGTAGCTGGGACCACAGGCGTGGACTACTATGCCTGGATAATTTTTAAAAACAGGGTCTTGCTATATTGCCCAGGCTGGTCTTGAACTCCTTGGCTCAAGCAATCTACCCGCCTTAGCCTCCTAAAGTGCTGGGATTATAGGTGTGAGCTGTTGCTACTAGTGGAGACCCCTTCTTGGGGAGAGAGAGAGAGAGTGAAAGAAGGGAAAGATCATCAAAGGCATAGTGAACCAGTCCTATGAGGAAAGATTAAAGGGCTCAGAGCCTTAGCTTAAACGAAAGAAGGCTGAAGGATGATTTAGCTTATACATGAGAAGACTTCTTGTAAGTTGTTTTATATGGCCATAGAAGGTTAAACAAGAGGAAAATATTTAAGTGGAATCAGGAGAAATTGCTATAAGCCATAAGAAAAATGTGCTGTGATACTCTAGGTATCGGGGGCAGGTGTGAACTCTTCGTCTCCTAAGGACAATATAGAGACCTCCTCATCTAGGTGGCTTAAAGGTATACCTGTGTGAAGGCAAGAGACTGAGCTGAGGATCTAATGAGCTCCCTGCAAGGTCTAGGAGCCCATGGACGTGTTCACCATTCACTACCACCACCCCCAGTGTCCTTGAGTACCTTGGCATCAGTCATATCCAAATCAAGCACTGCCAGACAGTGAGTCAGCAACCTTTGACACCTAATCTATGCAAGGCACTGGGACAGGGGCTGAGGGCAGTAACAAGACCATCTTTCTGGTCCAGTTGAGGAGAAAGGATACATATGTTTACTAACAACACAAGATGCATGATTAGTGCTAAATGGGTGTGGCACAGTCAACGTGGGCTATACGTATCCAAGGGAGGAAAGCTCGTCATGCGCTGGAATGGCCAAGGAGGCCTCCTGAAGAAGGTGGAGCCTCAGCTGGGCCCTAAGAAAGGAAGGGGATTACCAACAAGAAAGCTACTCCAGGTGGGAGACAGCGGGCCAGATCACTGCTGAGTGGAAGAGGGAGAGAGGTGAGTGGAAAGAAAGACCACTCAGTGGAGGACCACAAGGACCAGGCCAAGGCATCTGTCAGTAGTTCCAAAACAAAGAGCCCTAACCCAGTGCCTGGTGCACGGAAGCGGCTCCATAGTATTAGTGCATTACATTCAAGCAGGAAGAAAGAGGTGCATCGTTTTGACACCACTGGCCTGCACCTCTTCATCTATCCCTGGAGTTCACAGGCAGGTTTCTGTGCTACTTAACCTTCTTGTCTCATTGTCCCCCACTTTTTTTAGAGACAGGGTCTTGCTCTGCTGCCCAGGCTGGAGTACAGTGGTGCAATCATAGCTCACAGTAACCTCCAACTCCTGGGCTGAAGCTATTCCTGCCTCAGCCTCGCAAGTAGGTAGGACAACAGGCACTTACCACCACATCTGGTAAATAAAAGGAAATTTTTTTGCCACTGAGGCTGCAGTGAGCTGTGATCTTGCCACTACACTCCAGTCTGAGTGACAAAGCAAGAACCACCCCCGCTTTTTTTTGAAACAGTCTTGCTCTGTTGCACAGCTGGAGTGCAGTAAGGCAATCTTGCTATGTTGCCCGGGCTCTTGTCTCACTTACACCATGGAGTGAAAAGGTTTAAGCACCACCACTGTCCGAGCCACAGCCCAAGCAAGCTCGGTTCTAAGGTTTAGACCTTAGGGATGTACATGAGACTTCATTAACCTCTCCAACCTCATTTTCCCAGGATTATCCCTCTTTGGGGCTGATGACTGAGAAGCTATCCCAGAAAAACATCAATTTGATCTTTGCGGTGACTGAAAATGTAGTCAGCCTCTATCAGGTGACTGTGCCTTCAGGCTTCCTGGAGTGGGCCCTGTGATGGTGGGAGCACCAGGTGGCTAGCATGTGCTCGCATTGGCCATAATCCCCAACCAGGAAAGACTCTCCTCCAATCCTCTCCCCGGGAGCTAAAGGTTGCACTCTGGGCCTTTTTCCTGCAAACTTGACCTTATGAGGTGTGTGTTGGTGTTTGGGGTGCTGGAGGGGAGGTAATTCAGTGGGGTGAGGGCTTCAAGAGGTTTCCTATACTTTTGCTGAGGGCTGAAAAACTGCCAGATGTATTCCTGGCAGCGGCAATTGAAATATCCCATACCTCCCTCCAATCTTCGTCTCAGGACCCTCAGTCTGATTTGGGGAGGGCTTTTGGAGATGACCACCTTCCTTCAGTAAGCTCTGGACATCTTTTGTCTTCCTTTCTAGAACTATAGTGAGCTCATCCCAGGGACCACAGTTGGGGTTCTGTCCATGGATTCCAGCAATGTCCTCCAGCTCATCGTTGATGCTTATGGGGTAAGTGTCGCGTGCTGGGAATAACCCTGCTGAGAGTCCACCTCATTTGGCTTTCACACAGGGCTCAGATTTGTGAGTCCCAGCTGGCAGCCTACCACCTAAGAAGGTCTTACTACCTTCTCCGTGTGCTCCTAGAGGCCAGGCAATGGCCCGCTCTGGGAGGGATGCGGCCTTCTGAGAAGGAAGTCGCCCAGAAAGAAAGAAAGGGGATGGGGATGGGGATTAGATGGAGCAGGAGCAGAGCCCTGGATTGTAGGGGCAGAGTGAGGGAAAACTGGGCTCCAGTAACAGGGAAAAGAGAGAGCTGAGACATGGGAAAGGTGAGGTTGATGAACATTAGGTAGAAAATGCCACTTTCCGAGGTGACCAGTATTGGCACTCCCCTTTTACAATGTCTATGAGGCCTGCAGGAGGGTGTAGCTGGTCTGTTTTTCCCAGACTCACCTAGATGGGAGTGGAGACAGAAAGAGGGAGCAGGTTCCTGGGCAGGAAACAGCGTTCTAGGGGTGCTCCGGCAGCCTCCAGGGCAAATCTTGGCCTCTGGCACTGCTGGGGTGAGTCCAGAGCTACTTGGCAGATTTTGCTTGGGATGGAATTGGCTCTTGCCATTTCCCATTTCCTCATTTTCTTGTCTTCTTGTGCCCCTTTCTGTTCAGAAAATCCGCTCTAAAGTAGAGCTGGAAGTACGTGACCTTCCTGATGAGTTGTCTCTGTCCTTCAACGCCACCTGCCTCAACAATGAGGTCATCCCTGGCCTCAAGTCTTGTATGGGACTCAAGATTGGAGACACGGTGAGGTGGGCTGGGCAGGGCCTTTGTCCTGGAGCATCTGTGGGCACCGGACCCCCTTTCTTCCCTTTGCAATGACTTAAAATGGCCTCCTTCCACCAGAAAAAAAAATATGGGCAGGAAAAAATACCTTTCCTGAAAGTCATTCCAACTTAGATGTAATGGATCCACCAATCTTTTCCTCTGAGCCTTCTGTGCATAAGCCATTTCTGTTACGTGAACTTCACTATCAGGAATTTTAAAAACTTACAATTTGATTACCTTTGTTTATGTATACACAGTCGATCTCAAAGGAAAATATTTCTTTACCTTTAGTTCCTCACCAGTCTCCAGCCTTCCTATGGTAATTAATGTCTTTCTTTTGTAAAATGACACAAGAAAGTAAAATCTAAAATGTAAAACGGCAGCATCACCTATAAATATTTATTGAGCACTAACACCGTGTCAGGCATTGTTCTAGCTGCTGAGGATTTAACAGCAAATGGAACAGGCAAAAATACCTACCATCATGGAACTTCTGAAATCAGATGTTCATTTCACCACTCTAGTCCCTCCATGACTTTCCTTGTTGGTCGTTTCTCCTCTGCTTCTGCCTAAGGGGAAAGGGGTTGGTGGGAGGCGAGGGACAAGGGGAAGAAAATCGCTCTTTGGATCCACTGATCCCTTCTATTGATATATCTGTCTTTCAGGCACTTGTACAAACATCCCGCCTTGGAAATGTTGTTCTGAAACATGCCTGATTGCACAGCTGTGAAATGTATGGAACTGGAAGTAGATTCTTGAGCTTAGGGTTGACCACCATGTGGCATTGTGTGGTGCAAAACCGTGCCTTGTGCATCTTGCTGATAATTACAATCAGTCCAGGTTGCTTAGGTGGCCAGAGCAGGGTGTTCACATGATCACAGGTTCTGTTCAGTTTGAGCTTGTCTATCTCACATGTGGAGTAAATAAACAGCCTTCTATTATTTACTGACTGTGAACCATGTCTCTGCAGCCAGCAAGATATGTCACAACGATATTATTCCCATGCTCGTGTTTTTGGTAGAGGGAAGGCTGAGGAACTCCAGATTGCAGAAGCATAAGACACCCAATTTGAATATTCCTTGGCAGGGCAGGGAACAACTGTTTTTCATCTAGAGCTGGAGTGTTAACTTGGCCCACCTGTGTCTAAATGCAATCTTGCTTTCCATCCAGGTGAGCTTCAGCATTGAGGCCAAAGTGCGAGGCTGCCCCCAGGAGAAGGAGAAGTCCTTTACCATCAAGCCTGTGGGCTTCAAGGACAGCCTGGTCGTCCAGGTCACCTTTGATTGCGACTGTGCCTGCCAGGCCCAAGCTGAACCTAACAGCCGTCGCTGCAACAATGGCAATGGGACCTTTGAGTGTGGGGTGTGTCGTTGTGGCCCTGGCTGGCTGGGGTCCCAGTGTGAGTGCTCAGAGGAAGACTATCGCCCTTCCCAGCAGGACGAGTGCAGCCTCCGGGAGGGCCAGCCCGTCTGTAGCCAGAGGGGCGAGTGCCTCTGTGGTCAATGTGTCTGCCACAGCAGTGACTTTGGCAAGATCACGGGCAAGTACTGCGAGTGTGATGACTTCTCCTGTGTCCGCTACAAGGGGGAGATGTGCTCAGGTAAGAACTGCAGAGCCCCCTGTCCTGAAACCCACACCCCCTCATACACCTGCAGCCTCTGGAAACATAGGTGAGGGCCTGAATGGGCCTTTGTGGGCAGAGGTGTAAGTCAGCGGCTCCTAATCTTTTTGAGTATAAGGACCAAACCCGTTTTCAGGTTTAAAAAAATTACTGATAGATGATAATTAAATTTTTATTATTTATAGACTTAGAAAACACGTGTGAGAGTATGTAGTAAGGTTAGTAATAATTTTACATGAGTTTATCTTTTTATCACAAGAGACCTGGAAAATAGAGTAGGGGAGAGTGAGAGATCAGAGATGCACACAGATGAAATCATACAAACAACAACCATTTGGATTGGGGGTGAGGCAGGAGTTTCACTTTGTTTTACTATTTGACAGTATTTACACTAATTCAAAGTACCAAAGGAAATGGGTAAGTTTGAAGTGGGAGACCCATGGGAAGAAGGTTGGGGACTGAGGGAGAGAGGGTGGTCCGAGGAGAGTACTGTGATGGCCCGTGGGGGCACTGCCAGTCCTCCTCCGTGGCCTGATGGTTCCTGGTCTGATGTGAGGTACTGTGGGAAGATCCCAGCCAGGGCATGTTTCCTTTGGCTGCTGCCCCGCTAAAGCCACAAAACAAAGCTGACTGGGTCAGCGGCCCCGGTTCCTGCCTCTCACCATGCAAGTACGGGTCATCCTCAGTGCATTCCAGTCTGATCCATGAGAGAACCACAAGATGTCTTGCTAGGGTGTCAGGTGCCCACCTAGCCTCAGATCTAGACCCCACGGTGCCATCATCACTTCCTCCAGTGACAGATACTCAGGGGCACACATCATTGAGCACCTGCCCTGTGTATCATTTGGTCCATATAAGTGAACCAGGGGTCATGCATGATCCCTGATCTCTCTGAGCTTCCAGCCCTGCTCACCATTGGCCCTTGCCACAGCTGCTGGCTCTATGGTCCATTCTTTGCCACAAGCAGGGGCTCAGGAGGCAGATGTGCTGTGACTCGGCCATTTCCCTAGCCCCTGGCTTGTAAGCATGGTGGCTGGTTTCCTGGCCATCCCCCTTGTCCCCTCCCTACCTTGGGCCTGGTCTTCGTGGTTGTTTGTTATCAACATTCCTGCCTCAAACATCAAGGGGTGCATCATCCTCAAGGGAGTTTTCCGCTTGCCACATCCACAGCCACAGATCAGTCAGGTACCCTCTGTGAGCCAGATTCTGTGCTGTTGTGGAGTAGGATAGAGAGGCATGAATAAGACAGTTAAACAAAGATAATTCCCAACATCAGGCTGAATCTGACAGATCCCGGAAGTGTGGGGTGCTCAGGGAGTGTAATGGGAGTCCTCTGGAGCAAGACTGACTGGGGACAAGGGAGGCCTGGGTGGCTTCATGGAGGAAGTAGGCTGTCTGATGGATCGCAGGAAGGGCAGGCTCAGGACAGAGAGGAGTGGAACGAGCATCAGCCCAGAAGGTCTGGCTGTACAGGGAGAGGGCTCTTGTTCCCAAAGACCTTAGCACCTGTTCCTTCCTCGCTCTTCCAGCTTCCCTCCCTTTCTCCTCTTCCACTCTTTCATTTTTTACTCCACTCCCCTGACTTTCCTATGAACCCAGGCTCAGCCTCCCTTTTGCAGGAGGGGTGCCAGTACTGTGACATTACCACACTGTGGCTTCCTTTTAAGGGCTGACCCTGCCAAGGCTTGGGGTCAGCCTGATGGCTCTGGCCTGCCACTTCCACTCCCAACCTCACTCCCTGGCTGGCCCATCTTGTCAAAGATCGCTTTGTTTAGCCTCACAAAGGAAACACTATGGGACAAGGGTTTCTGAGGAGGCGGAGGTCTCTGAGTGCTGCCAGGCCCCTGTGGTGTCGGTCTTTCCCATCCAGGAGCCATGGCCAAATGCAGGGTGTAGTGAAAGGCGGAGGGCGCCTGGCTCTGCTGGCTGGTGCACTCCTCCCCCAGCTGCTGTGAGGTTGGCCAATAGCAGCTCACAGCTGCCCCTTCGGTGGAGAACTGCCCTCGGCTGACAGGAGCTGCCTTACCCCTAGATGTTGGCCAATGACTAATGGACAAGGGGTTACTCAAGGCCAGACTCTTTGCCTCAGGATAGGCCTGGCTTTGTGGTCATTCTGTGAGGGATCAGGCTGGAGGGCGTCTGGCTGAGACCACATTCCTGCCAGCTCTGCCTCTTGCCCTGTCCTGTTTCCCTCCCCCCTCTCTACTTCCTCAGTGAGTCCCTTGAATGAGATCCTCTAGCAAGCCACACTTCTAGGGAACCTAGCCTCGGGACACAGCCTTTCTGCCTTCCCCACCCTTCCACCGGTCCAACATTGCTACTTTCCAGACACACTTAGCAGCTGGGGCAGCTTGGGTCATGTTCCCCATCCTTCCTGGGAAGCAGACATTTGTTTCCATGCCCACACCATAGTGCACTGGCATGATCATGGCTCACTGCAGCCTTGAACTCCTGGGCTCAAGCGATCCTTCTGCCTTAGCCTCCCAAGTAGCTGGGAATACAGGCACTTGCCACCATGCCCAGCTAATTTTCAAAAATTTTGTAGAGGTGGGATCTCACTATGCTGCCCAGGGTGGTCTTGAACTCCTGGGCTCAAGTAATCCTTCTGCCTTAGTCTCCCAAGTAGTTAGGACTACAGGCTCTTGCCATCATGCCTAGATAATTTAAAAAAAATTTGTAGAGATGGGATCTTGCTATGTTGCCCAGCTGGTTTTGAACTCCTGGGCTCAAGTGATCTACCCACCTCGGCCTCCCAAAGTATTGAGATTACAGACGTGAGGCACCATGCCTGGCCTTTGAAGGTTTTTAAGCAGTTGAGTGGCATGATCAAGTTGACTTTAAAACAGTGGTTCTCAACGGGGAGTAAGGAGCTATTTTGTCTTCCCTCTCTGCATTGGTAATGTCTGGTGATATTTTTGATGGTTACAACTGGGAAGGTGCTACAGATATGTAGTGGTGGAGCTCAAGGATGCTGCTAAGCATCCTAATATACAGGACAGCCCTCCACAACAAAAAATTATCTGGCCCCAGATACCAAAAAGTACCAAGGTTGAGAAACCACCTTGTGCAAAGAGAATCCCGGCCACAGAGGAATTGACGATAACCTGGAGAAGGAGAGATGACTGAATTGTCTGGACACAGGACCAGGCTGGGGAAGGGCACGGAAATGTCTACAGTGAGGCCCATTTGCCCTTCACTTAAATAGTTCAGTTCATTTGACTCCTGAAATGTTCCCTCCTTGAAATTTCTCATTGAGATCAAGCCTAGTTATTGGACTTTCCATAACTTCTTTCTTACTAGTTTGGTCTGGGTGACTGATTGAGACTCTCAAATAAAAAAGAACTTGGCACAAGCCTAGGCAATATAACAAGACCCCCATCTGTACAAAAACAAAAATAGCCAGGTACAGGGGCACATGCCTGTAGTCCCAGCTACTCAGGAGGCGGAGGTGAGGCAGGAAAATCACTTGAGCCCAGGAGTTTGAGGTTACTGTGAGCGATGATCACACCACTGCACTGTAGCCTGAGTGATAGGTTGAGACTCTGTCTCAAAAAAAGTAAATAAAAAGAAAAAGAACTTGGCACGGTGCTCGACACACATTAAATGACTCCTTGGTTGGTTTGGAAAATAGATACATATTCTCTTCTCTAAATGCTTTCCAAGTCTGTTCCACTCTACTCCCAGATATATGATGAGACTCCCAGATACGGTATGATGAGGTCAGATTGAGAAGAGAACAGGACGAGAAAGACAGGTTGTGTTGGTGAACTTGAACTGCACCCGTAACTTTAAAAAACTTAATTAATTAATTAAAAATGTTTGATGGTGGTAAACGTTTCTGCAACTGCTGAGTGCAGAGGCAGGAACCAGGACAAGTCAACAGTGGCATGGCGGAGGCCATCAGGCTACATGAAGCCATTACTAGCGATTGCCTCTACTGCTGTTCACCTTAGGAAAATCTCTCTTTTATTCAGTTAATTTCTTTTATTTTCTGACTTCTTTTCTCTACGGCATTCATGGGATTTGTTTAACTGCGCTGGCCCTCGGCAGTCTGGGAGGTAGGGTATATTTGCCCTCTGTGCTTACTTGGCTCTGTTGGCCAACTCCATGGGCTCTCGGTGCTGTCCCTCTGCCCCTTGGATGCCCCGCCCCATCTACCCAGGCATTCAGGGTGCTCTGTCTGCACCTTCCCTCTCTGCATTTGGAGGAGCCCCGTACCCTGGATGTCTCCTTTCCTTCTTTCCCTATGTTACAATTTTCCTGTCTTGTGCATGCGCCCTCAGAGCCCTGCTTCTCACCCTGCAAGGTGACACCCAGCTGCTTTAAGAAACGGGATAATGGAAGTGGTGGCTGCTTTGTTAGTGGGATGGGGCCTGCTCTTCCAAACTGTACCCTATGTTGTTGTCTAACCAAACTAGGTGGCCAGGATGACAATGGTAGGTCTCTCGGATCAGGTAGGACAGGCGAGCAGCCCTGTGTAAGGTCAAAGGGAGAGAGTTTTGGGGCTTGGGAGGCCTTTTGCCATCATCAGGTCACATTGTCAAGGCTACTGAGTGCCCTGTGTAGGCTCAGGGCTGTGGCTTTGTGCTGTGTCAGCCCTCAGGGCTAAAGAGCTTGCTTCTAGTCCTTAGACTAGAAGGAACTAAGTCTCCTACCCTTTCTCTTGCCTTTCTCATAAGGCAGAAGTATTCAGAATAAGGCAAGAGAGAGGGTACGAGGTCTAGGAGACTTGGTTCCTGAGAATCTCTTGCTCTACAGTGACTCCGAACAAGTCTTGCCATACCTTGGGACACTTAGAAAACTGAGTTTGTCCCCACTGGGTAGGACTTCGCTGGGTAGGACTCTGCTGGGTTGGACTCCCCTAGGTAGTGAGTCAATTTCCTGCCAACCTGGAGGATCTTTATCTGTGTGGTTGGGAGAGCAGGGTGGTTGTGTGTAGCCTGCTGCTATGGGGGTGGGGCTCTCGCCAGCTGGTCCACCCTCCTGGGCTGTGTGTTTTCAGGCCATGGCCAGTGCAGCTGTGGGGACTGCCTGTGTGACTCCGACTGGACCGGCTACTACTGCAACTGTACCACGCGCACCGACACCTGCATGTCCAGCAACGGGCTGCTGTGCAGTGGCCGTGGCAAGTGTGAATGTGGCAGCTGTGTCTGTATCCAGCCGGGCTCCTATGGGGACACCTGTGAGAAGTGCCCCACCTGCCCAGATGCCTGCACCTTTAAGAAGTGAGTGCACAGTTTGGAGAGAGCCAGGAGGCTGGGAGGTAGGAGAGAATCCCCTGACTAGAATCCCCAGCTTTCCAGGTCTGTTTCTTGCTCACCAGAGCCTTAGGGAGAGGAGTCCATTCCAGCCAGATGGCTACCGCTCCTTTTTCCACAAGGCTTTGGGTAAGTTGAAATAGAGCCGACTGTGAAGGGGCCAAAGTCGAACGAGCTGGACTTCGATTGAAGAATGTCCTCTCCTAGGGTAACATCCTGAATCCCTGGGAGTTGGGAGGAATGCTAAACCAGTCTGAGGAACGTTCCAGTGCTAATGTTCTGATTCAGTGGGAGATGTGAGGGCTGGAATTCTGGAGGACATTCTGTGAAACCATTACAAACCTCCTGTGTTAGGGGCCAGGGGAAGCCCTGTCAGCCCATGTCCATGGCACTGCAATTGTGCTTACCGCTTTAAGCAGGGCCAGATTTACAAGTGTGCAACCTCCGCAGCTGTACAGGGCCCTGTGCCTAGAAGATCTCATGCTTGTTTCAATGCTCTGCCATCACTGTCTTGATATTCTTAGTGATCTTTGAACAAGGAACCTGACGTTTTCATTTAGCACTGGGCCCACAAATGACATGACTGGTTCTGACTTTATAGTTCTCAGAAGTGGCATAGGACTCACCACCCTGGCACAGCCCTGGATGGAATGGGAAGTTTAATGAAGGACCTGGGAGGCCTATGGCTGCCAGGTGCTGCCTATGGGTGAGGGGGACACTCCTACCCCTGAACTCCACACTTGCCATTCAGGTCCCCAGGATTGTCTTATGGGTGTGTGTGTGTGTGTGTGTGTGTGTGTGTGTGTGTGTGTGTGTATGTGTTTTACTGGAGGTGGAGCAGCTTTCTGAATGCATGGAGATCGGAGCTGGACTGGGACTCACTTAGGCTTGCTCCTCCTTTGCCTTAATCACTGTGTCCTCTCTCCTTCAGAGAATGTGTGGAGTGTAAGAAGTTTGACCGGGGAGAATTACATGAGAAAAATACCTGCAACCGCTACTGCCGTGATGAAATTGAGTCAGTGAAAGAGCTTAGTAAGTTCAGCACATCTGGAGTTGCACACACCCAGATTCTAAATGTTTCTGATTCAATCCCTGAACCTATCCAACTCCCATCTGTAAAATGGAAGAGTGACTCATACCTCAGGGAATGCCGTGCAGGCTTGATGCACAGTGGACACTTGATGTGAGCTGGTGTCTCTGAGAGTCAGCCTGCTCTCTTCCTAATGTGTGCAGCTACCTACCACTTCTGCTTCCCAGAGCCCACAGACTCAGCAAGAGCCAGGAAAGGGAGCAAGTGCCTTCCTAAGGAAGGGAAGGGAATGTATCCCATTTTACAGATGAAAAAACTGAGGCACAGAGCTGGGAAGTGGTTGCCTGTGATGGTCATCATCTTAGCTTAGTAGGCCAGTAAGCGTTTACCAAGTTTACTTCTAAAAGTGTTATGCAGTGCCCAGGATTTTGCTTAAAGCTTTGCAGATTTGGAGGGAAACCTTCAACCTTATGGATAGGTAACCAAAATCTTAATCTGAAGCCCTTCTGCCCACCTTTTGAAATAAGTCAGACAGAAATACAAACAGTGGGGAGAAAAAAAATTTTGCCTGAAATTATTCTTGAAGTGTTCTCTGTACTTCTTAAAAGGAGATGATCTTTGCTGCTGTCGTCACATCTGATATGGGTTAGTGAGGCATTGGGTAGTACTAGGGAGATGGCAATCTCTCCACAGATAGCCATCTCCCATGAAAGTAGAAACACATTTCAGAGAGAGCCACAGTAAGACACAGCCAGCCAGTCAGCTTCCTGGTGGGGGTGTTATGGAAAAGAGGCTGATCTCTGGGCCTCTGGCTAATATCAAACGTAGGGCTGGGGTGAGGTTAGTGATATGGGGCTTGATTTGGGGATCTAGTTTTTCCTGTGGAGGAGATTAGGCTTGCTACGCTTTTGTCAGAGAGGAGAGGCTGCTGAGATGTTGAGTTATTTTTATCATCCAGACTAGGTGGGTATTACAAGTTAATTGATAAGTAGTTCTCTACCTCCACCTTCCCTTTACTGGTGGTATTGTAGTACGGGGAAAAGAGTTTGGAAACAAGCATATTAAAATAAATGCTTATTTGTATGGAATTTTGTAACTTGTAAAAGTTATAAAGTACCTTTCATGTACATTATCTTATTCTGTCAACAGCCTAGTGAAGTAGAACTACAGCACTATTATTATCTTCATTTTGAGTCTCAGGAAAGTTAAGTAACTGGCCCAAGCAAGGGAATGGCAAATTAAGATGAGAACTAGATCCTAAAATCCATACTCTTTTCCCTGTATTATAATTCCGCTGGTTTTCTGAAGGGTTGTTGAGTTCAGGTCTGCAGTATGTGTTTTGAGACTCCTGTTCTTGTTCTGCTTCATCACTAATTTGCTGTGTGACCTGGGTACCTTTGCTTAATTTCAGCATGTGTTGGTTTCGCTCACCTGGTTTCATCAGTGTGGGGCATAGTGCAGCTGGTGGAGGGTAACCCCTAGTGTCATGGCAGAATAACAGGTTTTAGAATTAGAAGAGATGAAGTCTACAAAACATGGTGAGAGTCAGAGAAGAGAGGATAGCTCTGGGGAAGTATATTGGATCAGAAACAGAAATGGAAGAAATAGAGCAGCTGCATAAGCAAACTATTGAGAATCACTAAGCAAACAGAGAAAGGAAAGAGAGGGAAGGGTACACCAACTATTTGTTAGGCACTACTTACTTTATGCTGTTTAGTTCACTGAACTTGTGAGGTGGGGGTATCATTTTCTTTTTATAGATGAAGAAAGACTTGATGAGGTCAGGTAATTCACTCAAGATCACACAACAGGTAGGTAGTGAAGCCAGAATTTGAATTAAATTGTGTAATACTGTTATATCATGTCTCTTTCAGAGGAAGCATTAAGAACCAAAAAGGGCCCTTTTTGCAGTACAAAATACATCAGTGGGGGTCAGTGACTGGCAACTGCCAGACACAACAGCCATCTTGAATCTGGGCATTGTGCACAGGAGGCACAGGGTTTCCTGTCACATACTTTTCCAGAAGTCCTGTGATAGGGGTTTGGAGTGGCCCCATCTTCCAGCAATTGACTCACTTTTTATTCCTCCATTTTCCCTACTCCCAGAGGACACTGGCAAAGATGCAGTGAATTGTACCTATAAGAATGAGGATGACTGTGTTGTCAGATTCCAGTACTACGAAGACTCCAGTGGAAAGTCCATCCTGTATGTGGTAGAAGAGCCAGGTGAGTGAACCCTGAGGGCTCCTGGCCCTGCCCCAGGAGGGAGAGGGAGAACCATATTAGGCAAGAATTTCTACTCATTGAGCCTCTTAAACAAAACAGGTTAAGCCTGCAAGTGATAAGTTAGGGGCCACGCGTGGTGGCTCATGCCTGTAATCCCAGCAATTTGGGAGGCCAAAGTGGGTGGATCACCTGAGGTCGGAGTTTGAGACCAGCCTGGCCAACGTGGCGTCTCTACTAAAAATGCAAAAAAATTAGTTGGGTGTGGTGGTGCATGCCTGTAATTCCAGCTCCGCAGGGGGCTGAGGCAGGAGACTCACTTGAACCTGGGAGGTGGAGGTTGCAGTGAGCTGAGATCATGCCACTGCACTCCAAACTGGCTGACAGGTTGAGACTCCATCTCAAACAAACAAACAAATAAATGGTAAGTTAGGGACTGTCATCTGGGTGAAGGGTATTTATAAACACAAATATTATCAAAAAAGTGACTTGTTAATTGAGGAGACAGAAAAACCAGAAAGCAGGTAAAGAGAAGAAGATAGATATGGGTCTCATCAGTGGACAAAATGTATCATTGCATTTTTTTGAGGCAATGATGTCAAGAAGTAAATAATTTAAATTTTAGGACTTTACAGCACACAATATCTGCACTACTAAAAGTGAGATGGTTGACTGTACTTCAGAGGAAGGCCTGATGGTTGGAGGTGTTGACCTTTCCAGGTTTACTGCAGGACGTAGGGATGGGTTTGAGGCACTAATGCAAAGCTGCCCTGAACACTGAAAGGACAGTGCCTTCTGGAAGCAGGAGGAGTCCATCCCATCATAAGACACCAGCCACAGGCTTGTCACCATCCAATGCTGTCAATTGCTTCCTTCCCTTTAACACCTTTATGGCCTTTGTTCCCCTTAAACAACAGATTAAGATGAGTTATTGGAAAACATTTTTGAGTATTTACTGCCATAACACCCCTTCCTCCACATTAGGAGAATGGAGCCCAGATCCATAGACCCACATTTCCGATTTTTTTTTGAGATAGGGTCTCATTTTTTCACCCAGGTTGGAGTGCAGTGGTGTGACCTTGGCTCACTGCAGCTTCAACCTTTTGGGCTCACACAGTCCTCCCATCTCAGCCTCCCTGGGACTACAGGCATACACCACCACACCTGGCTACTTTTTAATTTTTATTTTTTGTAGAGATGAAGTCTCACTATGTTTCCTAGGCTAGTCTGAAAATCCTAGGCTCAAGTGATCACCCCTCCTGCTCCGCCCCACCTCACCGCCCGCAGTGCTGGGATTACAGGTGTGAGTCATTGCGCCCTGCCAACATTTCCTATGTTGTTGCCCTGGAATTCTAGGCTGTGCCTCCCCACTCATCTCCCAACTCTAATCATTTCCTGGCTTAGAGTAGAATGTTGCAGCTGGGGTCTCAGACAATGCAGGGGAATCATTCTTTTCTCTTCTCCAATTTACGGTCTTGCAGGTACGCTCCTTGAAGGGCTGAGCTACCATAGGGAAGTAAAGACAGCACTGCCAAAAGTTTTGGCATTGGCCAAGTGGAGTTTAATCACATGGAGTGGGCTCCTGAGCTGGGCTCTTAACATTCCCGGATGTGGTTGCCAAATAAAATACACTATGTCCCATGCAATATTTAGTACACGCTTATAGTAAAAAATAATCATTTATCTGAAATTCAAATTTGTCTTGGCTTCCTGGTTTTTTTTTTTTTTTTTTTAGACAGAGTCTTGCTCTGTCACCCAGGCTGGATTACAGTGGTGCAATGTTGGCTCACTGCAATCTCTGCCTTCTGGGTTCAAACAGTTCTCATGCCTCAGTCTTCTGAGTAGCTGGGATTACAGGTGCCCACCACCACACCTGGCTAATTTTTATATTTTTTAGTAGAGACTGGGTTTCACCATGATGGCCAGGCTGGTCTTGAACTTCTGATTTCAAGTGATCTGCCTACCTTGGCCTCCCAGAGTGCTGGGATTCCAGGTGTGAGCCACTGCACCTGGCCAAGCGTCCTGTATTTTTGTTTGCTGAATCTGCCAACCCTACCCAGGATTCTCTGACCTTAGGTCATTTGTCATTGGTCTACTGCTGTGGCTGGAAGGACCCTCCAGAGGTTAACTGATCTTGCCTTCGGCTTCCAGGAAGCCCACCCCAAACTCCTCTCCAGATACATGGTTAACAGATTGTTTTTGCCTGAAGACCTTCTGCCACCCTACCTGTCCTGCCCATACTAATTTTGCAGAATTGAAGAGATTTTACTTTGAGAATTGAGGGTCAGCCCTATCCAAGTCTTCCAGAGAATCCATAATTGTTTTTCCCAGAAGAACTGGGGCCCTTCACTCCTGGGAACTTGGACACTGGAACCTCACAGCCTCTCTCCAGGCATTCATTTAATTACAGACATGTTGTAATTTGGCAGGCTGGGAGACAGCCAGCTTGGGTTGTGGTGGTGGTTGTTTTTGTGTTGTGTGTGGTGAGCATTGGGTGTATGTTTGGAGAAGGTGGGAGACAGTGTGGAAAGTGGGTGTGACTTCCTTTCCAGGCTCATCAGCTCCCTCATATATAAACACCTGGTTTCATAACACTTGAGTTACTGGAGTAAGATCACCTATTATATACCTGACATTTATGGGAAGTAGACCTCTGCAGAGTATGCTCAGCTTGACCCCCAGAGGCGCGACATGCCTGTGTTAGTTGTTGACTGGGGTTGAACAGGAAGTCAGCTTTCAATAGGGTTATGATTTTAGATGACTAATATTTTGGGAAAGAACTCAAAATATTGTCTTGACTGGCAGATCCTGGTCTCTAAGAATGCAAAAAATGTCATTAGGTTCGTAGCCCTCAGGAATGTAAATATATGAACCAGGGTAACAGACACAAATACTTGCAGGGGCTAAGGAAGCAAATAAGTTAGTAAAAACAGCTGGGTATGAGAAGATCATTTACAGTGGTAGCTGATATTTACTGAGCACTTATTCTGTGCCAGGCATTGTTCTGAGTTTTTAGGATATATTTAATTTAATTATGCCTCATAACAAGTTTCTTTTGAAGCCAGTGCTATTACTATCTTCATTTTAAAGATAGAGAAACAGGAAACAGACATTCAGAAAGGTTAAGTAATTTTCCAAATATCATGTAGCAGAGTTAAGTCACAAGTCAGGATTCCAACCCAGGGAGTCTCGCTCTAATGTCCACAGGAGCACAGACACACCAAGTCACACTGCCTTCCTTTAGGAGAGAGAAGGGAGAGTGGTGGGGATTCTGGTGAACTAGAAAACATGCGTTTTAACTAAAAGGAGCAGCTCCTCTTCAGCTCTAGCTAGCTGCTGCCCTGCAGGAATATAGGTACCAATGTTTCTAGCCATTTGGATTTTCTTCCCTCCCCTCCCCTCCCCTCCGCTCCCCTTCCCTCCCCTTCCCTCCCCTTCCCTCTCCTTTCCTTTCTTTTTCCTTTCCTTTCCTTTCCTTTTCTTTCTTTTCTCTTTTTTTTTCTCTCTCTCTACCTTCCCCTCTCTCTCTTTCTCCCTTCCTCCCCCCACCTTCTTTCTTCCTTTTTTTGAGATAGGGTCTCCCTCTGTCATCCAGGCTGGAGAACAGTGGCATGAACTCCCAGGCCTTGACCTCCCAGGCTCAAACGATTCTCCCACCTCAGCCTCCTGAGTAGCTGGGACTACAGGCATATGCCACCATGCGTGGCTAATTAAAAAAAAATCGTAGCAACAGGGTCTCACTATGTTGCCCAGGCTGGTCTTGAACCTCTGGACTTAAGTTACCCTCCTGCCTCAGCCTCCCAAATGCTGGCATTATAGGCATGAGCCACTGTGCCTGGTCTGGACTTTCTTTTTAAAGAGAATAATATAAAATTTTAGGGGGAGAATCTCCTGATTATTCAATATTGCCGATAAAATCAATTTTTATTTTTTATTTTATTTATTTTTATTTTTTATTTCTTTTTTTGAGATGGAGTTTTACTCTGTTACCCATGCTAGAGTGCAATGGCATGATCTTGGCTCACTGCAACCTCCACCTCCCAAATCCAAGTGATTCTTGTGCCTCAGCCTCCCAGGTAGCTGGGATTATAGGTGTATGCCACCACACCTGGCTAATTTTTGTAGTTTTAGTACAGACAGAGTTTTACCATGTTGGCCAGGCTGGTCTCAAACTCCTGACCTGAGGTGCTCTGCCCACCTTGGCCTCCCAAAGTGCTGGGATTATAGGTGTGAGACACTGTACCCAGCCAACTTTTAATTTTTTAATTTTTAAAAAACGTTTCTTTAGCTATAGAGGTACATGTGCGGGTTTGTTCTATAGATAAATTGTGAGCCATGGGGTCTGGTGTACATATTATTTCATCACCCAGGTAATAAGCATAGTACCTGATAGGTAGTTTTTTGATCCTCACCCTCCTCCTACCCTCTAACTTCAAGTAGGTCCCAGTGTCTGTTGTTCCCTTCTTTGTGTCTAATTTTAAAAATAAACACTTGGGTGAACCCCCACACAGAGGTATGACTGGGTTCTGTCTAGGGGTTACCAGGTCTAAGCTTCTGATTTGAGCCACTCAGGACAGATTATTGCTGTCCTAAAGATTGCCCCCTTAAAAAATTAAATTTTGAAAACTGTCCTATTTCCTTCAAGGACCTTAATCGCTTTGTCAAGAACACTTTATTCACAGCCAGTTCAAGTGATTCCTGCTTCATTCACAACCACCCTGCTCTGTGCTTCTTCCTGACAGAGTGTCCCAAGGGCCCTGACATCCTAGTTGTCCTGCTCTCAGTGATGGGGGCCATTCTGCTCATCGGCCTTGCTGCTCTGCTCATCTGGAAGCTCCTCATCACTATCCACGACCGAAAAGAGTTTGCTAAATTTGAGGAAGAACGCGCCAGGGCAAAATGGGACACAGTAAGAGGCTGGGCTGGGCATCTTCTAAAAAGTCATTGGTCTGAGACCCTTCAGTGGAAGCAGCAGATGCTTCGGGTGGTCAGGTTCAGCCAGCGCCATTGTCTTCCTGTTATCCTCTGTTCTGGAAACTGGGAGAGATGGTCTCACTGTCCCCTTGTCCTTCGGCTTCCTAAAAACCACCTGATTGTCTACCATACAGTCACTAGGAGCCACGTCAGGTAGTACTGACCAAACACAGATAGGACCCAGCTTTGCCCTGACCCTGAAGGAATGAGAAAGAAACATATTCTCCAACTGAGGGTGACAAGACAACCCTACCCTGAGAACACATAATATATTGTATGCTAATGAAGCCCAAAGCCTTAAACACAAATAGGAAAAAATATGATCACTAACATTTCCTGAGGATTTGGCATGTGCCTGGAACTGTTCTGAATGCTTTTTATGTATTAACTTATTTCATTCCTCTAACAACACTACGTGGTGGGCAATATTATTATTCCCATTTTGTAGGTGAAGAAACTGAACAGAGAAGTTAAGTACTTTGCCTGATTCTGGGAGGGAATTAGGTTACTATAGGGATATTTTCGGGTTAGCCTTTTAGAAATAGAGGCAGATGTCATTCCACTTCATTCTTTTCTTTCTCCTCAAATAAATGGTTACTTCGAGGCTGGGTGTGGTGGCTCATGCCTGTAATTCTAGCACTTTTGGGGACCAAGGTGGGCGGATCACTTGAGCTCAGGAGTTCGAGACCAGCCTGGGCAACATGGCAAAACTCCATCTCTTATTAAAAATATAAAAATTAGCCGGGCATGGTGGCGCATGCCTATAATCCCAGCTATTCGGGAGGCTGAAGCAGGAGAATTACTTGAACCCAGTAGATGGAGGCTGCAGTGAGCCGAGATCGTACCGTGCTCTGGATGACAGAGTAAGACTCTGTCTCAAAAAACAAAAAAGGTTACTTCCAAATCAGACTCTACTCTTTTATCCTTATTTTATTTAATTAAACAAGCACTTACTGAGAACATTCTATATACTTAATCCTACTCTATTCCCTTTTGACTGTTTTTTCACATTTCAGCTTTTTCCTGGACCCTCCAAATGGCCATTTCACTCCCCAGATGTCCAGGGTTAGGCTGCAAGTTTGTTCCCATTTGATGGTGATCCCAGAGCTTTGTACTCAAGGGTCCCATGAAACTGAAATGTTTCTGTTAGAACAGTGTGGAACATCCTGTACCTATGAGGCCCACAAGAATGTGTTTCGTGAAGCTACCATTAAACCTTATTTAATGGTAGCTTCACGAAACAAAGATTTGTTACTTTTTTTTTTTTTTTTTTGAAACGGAGTCTTGCTCTGTCGCCAGGCTCAAGCACAATGGCACGATGTTGGCTCACTGCAACCTCCACTTCCTGGGTCCTGGTTAAAGCAGTTCTCCTGCCTCAGCCTCCCAAGCAGCCAGGACCACAGGCCTGCACCACCATGCCCAGCAAATTTTTGTATTTTTAGTAGAGACGAGGTTTCACCATGTTGATCAGGATGGTCTCGATCTCCTGACTTTGTGATCCACCCGCCTCAGACTCTTTTGGAGAATAGTTTGGGAATCCTAGTGAGGGTCTTACTTTTTCTGATCACATGACAGTTTTGTGGATAGTGCTTCCCCCTCCCCTCTCCTCCCCTCCCCTCTCCTCCCGTCCGCTCTCCTCTCCCCGCCTTTCCTCTCCTCCCTTTCTTTACTTTCCCTTCCCTCCTTCCCTCTTTTTTTGAAACAGGGTCTCACTCTGTCACCCAGGTTGGAATGCACTGGTGCCGTCACGGCTCACTGCAGCCTTGATATCCTGGGCTCAAGTGATCCTCCTAGCTCACCCTCCTGAGTAGCCAGCACTATAGGCACACATCACCACAGCCAGCTAATTTTTGTATTTTTTTTTCCGTTGTAGAGACAGGGTCTCACTCTGCTACCCAGGCTGGTCTTGAACTCCTGGGCTCAAGCGATCTTCCTACTTTGGCCACTCAAAGTGCTGGGATTGCAGGCATAAGCCACCATGCCTGGCCATGGTTAGTGCTTGGCAGGATTAGATGAAAACAAATTGAGACTTATTTGAGCAAAAGCTGTCCTCTGTGTTTTGAACTCCACCTGCCACATTTCTGTCCCTTGTCTACATCTCCCATCACTGTCACAGGGAATGGAAAAGGGGAGAAGGGCAAAACAGAGAAGGACACAGGAGTAAAATAGGAGAGGTTCTGTCCTACAGTGCTGTGGGATCACTGAAGAGTGATAGGCTGAATTTAGCTCCTTAGAAATAGTAATGGGGAACAGGTGTGGTGGCTCACACCTGTAATCCCAGCACTTTGGGAGGCTGAGGCAGGTGGATCGCTTGAGCTCAGGAGTTTGAGACCAGCCTGGACAACATGACAAAACCCTTCCCTACCCCATCTCTACAAAAAATGCAAAATTATTCAGGCATGGTGATGATGTGTGCCTGTAGTCCCAGCTACTTGGGAGGCTGAGGTGGGAAGATGTCTTGAGCCCAGGAGGTGGAGGTTGCAGTGAGCTGAGATTGTGCCACTGCACTCCAGCCTGGGGAACAGAATGAAACCCTGTCTAAAAAGTAAATAAATAAATAAATAAGAAATAAGAAACAGTGGCGGGATGGCATTCTACCTCATCTCCTCCTGTTACTTCCTGTCAGTTTTCATGCCAAGAACTAAAGTGTGAGTAAAATGAACATTTTTCTGTTTCATTAATGGTGTATTCCAGAAAAGGGTGCCTTGGGAAAACTTTCTTAGATGAATTTTAAACTTTTGGGGTAGGGAAGGACTGAGGAATTCACTGTAAGATGCTTTTCTGTTTCCTCCACAGGCGAACAACCCACTATATAAAGAGGCCACATCTACCTTCACCAATATCACCTACCGGGGCACTTAATGATAAGCAGTCATCTTCAGATCATTATCAGCCTGTGCCAGGATTGCAGGAGTCTCTGCCATCATGTTTACAGAGGACAGTATTTGTGGGGAGGGATTTGGGGCTCAGAATGTGGTGGGTTGGGAGAATGTTTGTATGTGGAAGTATGGGTCTGTGTGTGTTTGTGGGGGGGGGATATGTGTTGCATGTGGGAGTGTGTAATTTAAAATTGTGATGTGTTCTGATAAGCCGAGCTCCTTAGCCTTTGTCCCCAGGATGCCTCCTGCAGGAATTCTTCCTGCTTAGCTTGAGGGTGACTATGGAGCTGAGCAGGTATTCATCATTACCTCAGTGAGGAGCCAGCTTTCCTCATCAGGCCATTGTCCCTGAAGAGAAGGGCAGGGCTGAGGCCTCTCATTCCAGAGGAAGGGACGCCAAGCCTTGGCTCTACCCTGAGTTCATAAGTTTATAGTTCTCAGGCCTGACTCTCAGCAGCTATGGTAGGAGCTGCTGGGCTTGGCAGCCCAGGTCATCTGTACCTCTGCCTCCTTTCCCCTCCCTCAGGCTGAAGGAGGAGTTGGGGAGAGCTGAACTATCAAAGCTGCCTGTGCCTTTCACCATCCCCTCAATCCAGCTATGGTTTTATTGCAAGGGAAGTCCTTGCAACCTAATTCTTTGACCTGCTGGGAGTGAGGATGGCAGGGCCACTCAGGGGTCATTCATGGCCTGGGGGATGTATCGACATCTTCCGGTTCATAATTACAACCCTCCAGATTTGCCCTATTGGCAGCTCTACCCTGGAGGTTTGTTTATAAGAAGCGTATCACCTTTACGCCAGCACCATCTCTTTATCTCCTAATTCCACACGTCACTGCTGTAGACATTTGCTATGAGCTGGGGATGTCTCTCATGACCAGATGCTTTTCCTCTAAGGGAGAGAGTGCTGTTGTAGAGCCAGGGGTCTGGCCCTACTCTTCTGGCCTTTTTTCCCTCATCCATGGCACCTCTACATACCCAGCCCTGTGCCTCCGTGTGCTGTATCCATCCATGGGGCTCATTGCATTTCCCTACTACCTCTTGGCTGCCTTGTGAAGAAATTATTCCCATGAATTGGCTGGGAATAGTGCCAGGATGGAATGATGGGCCAGTTGTATCAGCATGTGTGGCCTGCTCTTCTATGAGCTGGACAACCTCATTTTAACTCAGTCTTTAATCTGAGGGGCCACAATGCAATTTTATTTTATTTTTCTCATGATGAGGTTTTCTTAACCTAAAGGAACATGTATATAAACATGCTTGCGTTATATTTGTAAGTGTATGTGATGGCAAAGAAGGAGAGCATAGGAAACCACACAGACTTGGGCAGGGTACAGACACTCCCACTTGGTATCATTCACCAAAAGTCACTGCCCAGGGGCTGGATCTGTGAGAGGCTCTCTCACGCTGGAAGGCTATGGTGATGGATGGATGGACACACTGGACCTTTCCTGAGAAAGAGGGACTATTCTTTTGTTCCAGAAGAGCAGTGGCTCCATTGGTGTTGACATACATCCAACATTAAAAGCCACTCCCAAACACCCAAGAAAAAAAAAAAAGACTTAATAAGTTGTTCCATGAGCAGAAAACTGGAGTTCTGGCCTCAGTGTTGCAGCTAAATAATCTTTGACTCTAATTAAGGCAAGTCACTTTCTTCACCTTAAGGCTCAGTTTTCTAGTCTGAGAAATGATGGGTTTTGAGCAGCCAGTCTTGAAGGCCTCTTTCAGTGTCAACATTCTAACATGCTGGGACTTACTGTGGCATCAAATGTGTGGTCAAGATTCTGTGGGATATTGATACTGTTTGTGCTTTTAGTTGGGAGATCTGAGAGACTGGGCTTTGGCAAGAGCAGATGTCATTCCATATCACCTTTCTCAATGGGAGTCTCATTCTATCCTCTCTCCAAACCCCTTTTCCAACATTTGTTAATAATTACATCTCTCCTGATGTAGCACTTAAGCGTCATTTGGTTACTACTTCTTCCTTCACTTTGCACACGTTTGCATCCACATGTTAGGGAAGAGGAATTCATAAGTAGCTGAAGTATCTGTTCTGTATTCTTGTGTTAGCATTAAGAATACGCCTTGGAATTAGATACCGAGCCATGACTGAGCCCTGTCTCACCCATGGATCACTCCCTACTGTAGGGAATGGGAATGTGGTAGAGGGATAAGTAGGGGACAGGGAGGGATAGTCATGGAACCAGGAAGTCTGGAACCTAATTATGACCTTCAGCTGCTAAGACAGATCCATGAGAGTGTTAATGGGACATTTTCTTTGATAAGATGTTTTATATGAAGAAGCTATATTGAAGGGGAAGAAAATGTGTTTAAAGGGTGAGTCAAATCAGTAATCTTCTCTGAGCTACTGGAATGAAGTTCACAGGTCTCGAAGACCAGTACTATTTGTCAATATGTGAGGCTAACCTGTAGCTGCTTTCATGAGGTAGCAAATAGCAGTTCTGGCTTGTTGGGTGAACAGCTAAACAGTGTTCTGACATCAGATATCATAGTACAAAGGGATTGTATCTAGCTTTTTTGGAGAAAATTTATGTCTAGTCTTAGGATCTGTGGACAATGATGGGAAACTTTGAATATTCCTGACAAGTTGCCATATTAGGAGTCAGTTCTTTACTTCTCAGATATTCCTAGGTCATCCATGATTTTTTTTTTTTTGAGACGAAGCCTCACTCTTGTCACCCAGGCTGGAAGGCAATGATGTAATCTTGGCTCGCTGCAACCTCTGCCTCCTGGGTTCAAGTGATTCTCCTGCCTTAGCTTCCCAAGTACTGGGACTACAGGTGCCCACCACCATGCCTGGCTAATTTTTGTATTTTTAGTAGGGATGGGGTTTCACCATGTTGGCCAGGCTGGTCTTGAACTCCTGACCTCAGGCGATCCACCTGCCTCAGCCTCCCAAAGTGCTGGGATTACAGGCATGAGCCATCTAGACTGGCCAGTCATCCATGATTTTAATGTGGGGGTCCAAAGCCTCTTTTTCTTTGTTAAGTATTCCGGGTTGAAATTTCTTAAGCGCCTTCCTGACTTCCTAACCACCTTCTCTGTTTGGGTTTGTGCAACAGTGAATTAAATGTACTTTCTAAAAAGAATTGGCCTACAGCTGCCCAGTGCTTCCTGTGTTGTTATTTCTGTTTTCTTTGGGTGAAAGAATAAGTGTCATTGACTCAGAAATGATTACTTTAGAATAAGCATGTTCCCAAATGTAACAGAATGATGACTACTATGGGTACTGAAGCTAGCTTCAGAATCCAGAGCGTCTTTTTCATTTTTTTTTTTTTTTTTTTTTTTTTTTTTTTTTTTGTGACAGAGTCTTGCTCTGTTACCCAGGCTGGAGTAAAGTGGCATGATCTTGGCTCACTGCAACCTCTGCCTCCTGGGCTCAAGTGATTCTCCTGCCTCAGCCTCCTGAGTTGCTGGAATTATAGGCACCCACCACCATGCCCCACAAGTTTTTGCATTTTTATTTATTTATTTATTTTTGAGATGGAGTCTTGCTCTGTCACCCAGGCTGCAGTGGTTAATCTCTGTTCACTGTAACATCCACCTTCCAGACTCAAGCGACTCTCCTGCCTTAGCCTCCCGAGTAGCTGGGATTACAGGCATGCACCACCATACCTGGCTAATTTTTGTATTTTTAGTAGAGACGGGGTTTCACCACGTTGGCCAGGCTGGTCACGAACTGACCTCAAGTGATCCCATGGCCTTGGCCTCTTAAAGTGCTAGGATTACAGGTGTGAGCCGCTGGGCCTGGCCCTCTTTAGATTTAATATTTTTAAAATGAGTAGGTTATTATTCTAAGAGTTTGAATTTTTAAAAAAATTGGGTATTATTTAGGAACTTGTGCAATTTCAAAAGAACAGACTGCCAATGTAGCCTAGGTTTTGTTTGTAGGAGGCATACATGGATAAAATAAGAGCTTACTGGCAAATTATTGACAGGACCATTTAAATGGACAAATTTTGTTTAAGGCAGTGGGTGTCAAAGTGTGGTTCCAATACCAGCAACATCAATATCAGCTGGAAACTTGTTAGAAATGAAAATTGACAGGCCCCATCGCACAACTACTAAATCAGAAAATCTGGGAGTGGGGACCCACTATCTGTTTTAAGAAGACTTCTTGGTGATTCTAATTCATGCTCAAGGTGATTCTAATTCATGCTCTGATTTAAGGACTCACATATGTAGCCTCCTTTCCTAGCAAGAACTTTATAGTAAGGCAGCTCAGTTACTATATACAGTTAATAACAAATTCAGAAGATGAATAACGTATTCAGAAGATGAAATATCCACTCACACAAAACAAAAATCTACTTTGACCCATTTTCTAGGTTAAGTGATCTTGGGCATCTTGGTTTCATGCATGACCACAGATTCCCATGAAAAACCAAAATAATAGGTCAAAATCCTGGGAAAAAATGAACAAGATACTTTTTATGTGTACCAAGATGCAAGCAAGAAAATATTCTTACAGAATTTATTCACAGGAGATGGGATCAAAGTCCTAATTATTAACACGTTCATCCTATAGGATGCTAGAATAATAATTAGAATTTGTTACTTTACTTTTTGTTATTTAAAATTTATTGAGCACCAACAGTGTGAGACTGAAGTACTTTACAGAACAGTGATACCATAACCTTTGTCTTTGAGTCCTTTTTTTTTTTTCGGACAGGGTCTCATTTTGTTGCCGGAGTGCAGTGACGTCATCATGGGCACTGCAACCTTGACCTCCCAAGCTCAAGCAATTCTCCTGCCTTAGCCTCCCAAAGTGTAGGGACTACAGGCACATGCCACCACACTTGGCTAATTAAAAACATTTTTCTTTTTAGAGATGAGGTCTCACTATATTGCCCAGGCTGGTCTTGAACTTCTGGGCTCAAGCAATCCTTCCACCTCAACCTCACAAAGTGCTGGAATTACAAGTGTGAGCTACCGTGCCTGGCCTGAGTCTGAAATTCCTTGCATAATATACGTTTTCTTCAGCACAATACAATGCATGACATCATTAAGAGCTTACATGAACCTAGACTGAGACCTTTTATGGTGAAATATTTTGAGAGTCACTGTGTTTTATTTATGTCTTGTTAACTGCTAACTAAATGTCTGGATGAAAATAGAGAATCTTAGGTAAAATGAGATCAAAAACTATATGTCAAGCCACATTTGTAATCTAACTCTTGCCTTCTCTAGTCCAGACTCTATAGTAACAGAGCCATCTAATGATCACTGGGACCAATTACAAGCAGATTGCCTGGGAATTAGTACTTAATTTTCACAATGATATAATGGAACCATAATGTATGCTCTGCAAATAAGCCATTTAAAAATCATTTTTATTTGGTTTTATAATACAACATACTTATGGAAGTATATATTCCTAATTTGTTTTAGTTTGATTAAAACGTGCAAGGAGGCAGTCTTAGAAGCTTGTGATTAGGATTAAGTATATAATTACATGAAAATTAAAAAACCCACTTAATGTGGCTACCTAAGAATGGTTTGTATGTGAAAAGAAAATGCAGAAGTCAGGAATATGACTGCCTTCCTTGAGGCTGCTATTGTTATAATGAAGCCCCTCCAACTCCTTGCATAAAGGAAACACTTTTCATCAGCTGTGTATTTTCTGACACACCAAAGATTGCTTACAGAAAGCTCCATTTAGAAAATTTAAGAGCCTTTAAACAAAAATGTCCATTGTAAATTATTCTTTAGCAGTGTCCCTGATAAGAGCTTGTAAGGAAAAAGTTTCACAATTGATTTCATTTTAGTATCTTAACTGGATTTTCCAGTGACTCATACAGAATTGGCATGATTCTTTGGGGAGATCACAGTGATGATGTGTAAATATCACTTTGGTGGCCAGTGGAAATACTTAGTTAAGAAATGGGAAAAAAAATGTTGATGGGTGTGTGCTGAACTTTGCTTTTCCTGACCCTTACACTCACCATTGTGACAGAGATTGCTGACCGTGCCCAGTATGTTTTCTGCTTCTCACATAGTATTAGAAATTCTGATTTTTAGTTGGGCACATGGTTGCCCAGAATAAATATTATTCTGTTATTACTAATAAGCAAATTTAGTAAAGTTGCTGGATACAAAGTTAGCATGCAAAAATCTTGTAGCTACATGTGTCCATCTAATAGGCAATGAGATGTAAATGAAAGAGGTGTATGCAACTTCCAGTAAATACTGTTTAAGGGAAGGAACATACTTTTCTCCATTTCCTTAATCCTGCAGGCTGGAATGCAGAGGTAATACCTAGAAGTTAAGTAGCCATCATAGGTCGATATGTGACCTTGGGGATTGTATTATTTAATTTATTTATTTTATTTATTTATTTATTTATATTTTATTTATTTATTATTATTTTTTAAGGAGGTGGGGTCTTGCTATGTTGCCCATGTTGGACTTGAACTCCTAGGTTCAAGCAATCCTCCCACCTCAACCTCCCCGATTAGCTGGGACTACAGGTGCATGCCACTGCACTCAGTGGGGATTGTATTAGTTATCTGTTGCTGCATAAGAAATTACTCTACAATTTAGTAGCTTAAAACAACAAACATTATCTTGCTGTTTCTGTGGTCAGGAATTCAGGAATGGCTTAACTGGGTGGTTCTGGCTCAGAGACTCCCAAGAGGTTGGAGTCAAACTGTTGGCCAGGACTGTTGAAGGCTAAAAAGGGCTGGAGAATCATTTTCCAAGATGGCTTACTCACATGGCTGTTGGCAGGAGGCATCAATTCCATGCTGCCTATTGGCAATAGCCTTAGTTCCTCACCACTTGGACATCTCGATAGGACTGCTTGAGAGTCTGCATGACATGTCAGCTAGTTTCTCCCAGAGGGAGTAATCCAAGAGAGAACCGGGAGGAAGCCACGATGTTTTGTTATGACTTAGTTTTGTAAGTGTCATACCATAATTTCTGCCATACACTATTCATTAGAAGTAGCTCACTAAATCCAGCCAACATTTAAGAGGAGGGGAATAGACGCCACCTCTTGAAGGGAGGAGCATTGTGGACAGAATCATTCCCCCAAAGACAGCCACATTCCTATCTCCAGAACCTGTGAATATGTTACCCTATGTGGAACAAACAACTTTGTTGAGGTAATTAATGATCTTTAGATGAGGCAATCATCCTGGATTATTTCAGCGGACTCAGTGTAATTGCAAGTGTCCTTACAAGAGGGAGGCAGGGCTGGGCATGGTGGCTCATGCCTGTAATCCCAGGATTTTGGGAGGCTGAGGCGGTTGGATCAC